TTCCTATCATTCTCAGTCAGTAGGCAATTCTTACTGCCCAGCATTGTGCCAGCTAGCGGGGGAGTCCACTCTTTCCTATCACGCTCAGCCAGCAGGCGATCCTTACTGCCCAGCATTATGCCAGCGAGAATGGGAGTCCGTTCCTACCTATCATTCTCAGCTAGCAGGGGAGTCCGCTCCTTTCTATCACGCTCAGCCAGCAGACAATCCTTACTGCCCAGCATTGTGTCAGCTAGCGGGGGAGTCCGCTCCTTCCTATCACTCTCAGCCAGCAGGCGATCCTTACTGTCCAGCATTGTGCCAGCTAGCGGGGGAGTCCGCTCCTTTCTATCACTCTCAGCCAGCAGACGATCCTTACTGCCCAGCATTGTGCCAGCTAACAGGAGAGTCCGCTCCTTCCTATCAGTCTCAGCCAGCAGGCGATTCTTACTGCCCAGCATTGTGCAAGCTAGCGGGGGAGTCCGCTCTTTCCTATCACGCTCAGGCAGCAGGCGATTCTTACTGCCCAGCATTATGCCAGTGAGCATGGGAGTCAGTTCCTTCCTATCATTCTCAGTCAGTAGGCGTTCCTTCCTATCATTCTCAGCTAGCAGGGGAGTCAGCTCCTTTCTATCACGCTCAGCCAGCAGACGATCCTTACTGCCCAGCATTGTGCCAGCTAGAAGGAGAGTCCGCTCCTTCCTATCACTCTCAGCCAGCAGGCGATCATTACTGCCCTGCATTGTGCCAGCTAGCGGGGAATTCCGCTCTTTCCTATCATGCTCAGCCAGCAGGTGATCCTTACTGCCCAGCATTACGCCAGCTTGCAGGGGAGTCCGCTCCTTCCTATCATTCTCAGTCAGTAGGCGATTCTTACTGCCCAGCATTGTGCAAGCTAGCGGGGGGAGTCCGCTCTTTCCTATCACGCTCAGCCAGCAGGTGATCCTTACTGCCCAGCATTATGCCAGCGAGCATGGGAGTCCGTTTCTTCCTATCATTCTCAGTCAGTAGGCGATTCTTACTGCCCAGCATTGTGCCAGCTAGCGGGGGAGTCTGCTCCTTACTATCACTCTCAGCCAGCAGACAATCCTTACTAGCCAGCATTGTGCCATCTTTCGGGGGCGAGTCTGCTCCTTCCTATCACTCTCAGCCAGCAGGTGATCCTTACTGCCCAGCATTGTGCCAGCTAGTGGGGGCGAGTCTGCTCCACCCTATCACTCTCAGCCAGCAGGTGATCCTCACTGTCCAGCATTGTGCCAGCTAGCGGCACAGTCCGCTCCTTCTTCGCTCAGCCAGCAGGCGATCCTCACTGCCCAGCATTGTGCCAGCGAGCGGGGTAATCTGCTCCTTCCTACCACTCTCAGCCAGCAGGAATTTCTTATGTCCTATATGGTGTCAGTGCATATATATAAATATCTCTCTAGGTATATACATACTCTATATATTTATGCTATATATATATATACATATATATATATAGGCTCTATACATACATATAAATGTTGAAGC